AGGAGGAGGAGAAGGAGGAGGAGGAGGAAGAAGGAGGAGGAAAGGGAAGGAGAGGAGGAAAGAGGAAGATAAAGAGGAAGAAGCAAAAGCAGAAGAACGAAAATAATGGAAGGAAGGAAGGAAGCAAGTGAGGGAGGAAGGGAGGGAGGGAGGGGAAAGAAGAAAGAAAGAGAAAGAGATGAAAGAAAGAAAGAAAAAGAAAGAAAAGAAAGAGAGGAAAGTGCATTTCCACCTAGGAACATTTCTTTAAACCTGAATCAATGCCTCCTGAGATTTTTCTAAAAAATATTTTCTTATTTTATTATAATCACAATAAAGGATAGCTATAGCCCCACACGGACCTGCTGACCCAGAATCTGCGTTTGGCCGGATTCTGGGCTGATTCTCACGCCCTGGAGGGTCTGCGAGGCATTGAGGCAGATACTGCAATGGCCGTGTGACCCGGCGCTCCACAGACCTGCCCTAGAAGCCTGTCTTTTTCATCCAAGGCCCAGGACTGGGATGACTTCCAGAGTCATCACTTAACAGTGGGTGGGTTTCTACATATTAGTGACAATTCCTCCATGCTGAAAAATGTCTGGTTTTGCAAAGCTGTTTCCCCAAGCTATCTACCTACCTGTGCCCGCAGCCCTGGGTGTTCAGCACAATCATGGTTCTCCTGACTTTGCCAGTGCAGAAAAGGAGACCGACATAACATAAAGGAAGAGGCCGGGCGCGGTGGCTCACCCCTGTAATCCCAGCACTTTGGGAGGCCGAGGCGCGCGGATCACCTGAGCTCAGGAATTCGAGACTAGCCTGGCCAACATGGCGAAATCCCATCTCTACTGAAAATACAAAATATTATCAGGATGTGGTGCTGGTGTGTGCTCATAATTCCAGCTACTCGGAAGGCCGAGGTGAGAGAATTGCTTGAACCCAGGAGGTGGAGGTTGCAATGAGCTGAGATTGCGCCATTGCACTGCAGTGAGCCGAGATTGTACCCCTGCCCTCCAGCCTGGGCAACTGAGCGAGACTCTGCCTAAAAAAAAAAAAAAAAAAATTAACGGATAGTATTGTTGAGAGCGTGGGCCAGGTACATGATGTCGCTGAGATGAAACTGTCCAGATACCCACACCCTGGCTGTGTCCACTGAGCCAGGCCGTCGATGGCATGCACACTGCAGCTGACTGCGTCCCGTGGTTTAAGTGTGTCGTGAGCCGAATCGGACCCTCCTCATTTTTACAAATGGAAGCCCGCAGGACCTTCGATTGCGACTGTGTTTGCAGACAGGGTCTTTAAAGAGGCAATTCAGGTAAAATGAGGTCACCAGTTGGAGCCCTGATCTAGCTGCACTATGGACCTTACAAAAAGAAGAGATGAGGACACAGACATGCAGACAGGGACGACCTCGTGGGGACTCAGGGAGAAGACAGCATCCACAAGCCAAGGACAGAGGCCTCAGGAGGAGCCAGCCGGCCCACACCTTGATGTCGCCCTTCCAGCCTCCAGGCTTGTGACAGAATCAGCGTCTGCTGCTTACGCTGCCTGGCCTGTGGGACTTTGCTACCGCAGCCCCAGCAGACAAACACATTCCTATTCCAATGAATGAGTTATCTCTGTTAAGGGCTGAGTTGTGCACCTCCGAAATTTATATATTGAAAGCCTAATCCCCAGGACCTCAGAACCTGCCTGTGTTTAGAGAGAGGGTCTCTACATGGGTGAGAAGGGTACAATGAGGTCTTTATAAAAAGAGGAGAGGAGGACACAGACACACACTGAAGGACGACCCTGTAAAGATGCAGGGAGAAGACGTAGCTACAAGCAAGAAGAGGCCTCAGCAGGAAGCACCCTGCCCACACCTGGATCTCAGACCACCAGCCTCCAGGACTGTGGGAGAATCAAGGCTGTTGTTTAAGCTGCCTGCCCAGTCTGTGGGATTTTATCGTAGCAACTCTGGGAAGCCATTGCCAAGCCTCTGTCCTGCAAAGTGAGATATATGGATCTGCAGCCTCAGCATCCCCCAGGAGCTGATGAGAAGCACTGTGTCCTCGGCCTAGCCAGACCTGCTGAAGCATAGTCCGCGTGTCACCCAGGTCCTGAGGGACCATGTGCACACACCACCCGGGGGAGACTGGGTGGTCTGTGTAGACTCCTCTTGGCCTCTCAGAGCAGTGCTCCTTCCTTCTGGGTGTGGGGGCGGGACCCTTTCTGGGATGGGGGTCTTAGGACACCCAAACCAGGCAGGTCGGGGAACTTCCCTGTGGCCAGTCTTGATGTAGATAGGATGGAGGGAAACTTAGAGTCCTGTTTTTAGGTTTTGTGGCTGGCTTTGGGGGAGGGACATTCTTGTTTCTAGGACCCGCCTGGGGGAAGAGAGATTCTAGTTCCTACAGTGCCTCAGGGGAGACTGGGACTCAGACACAGGAGGGCTGGAAAAGCTCTGGGAGGAACTTCTGCTGCTGAGGCTGCACTTGGGGTTTGGTTTCCTGAGCCCGAACAACTTGTAGGTCTGAATCCACGTAAAGAATGCGGGCAGCGGGCAAAGTCCAGAAAGAAGCATCTTTGCATCCGGCAGGGGTGGAATCTGAACCCAGGAGGGGTTTGGTGCCTGCAGGCTACAGAAGAAGCCCTCCAAGCCGACATCTCAGGGTTTGGCTCTGAAGGGTCCCAAGGGCAGCTTTACTGGGGGCTTCCCTGTCACGCGCGGCCTTCCCACCCACCTACAGGAGCCATTTAATCGACATCTCCAGGACGCCAGCAACCGAGGACCAATGTCATAGGCCCAGCACAAAATGAGGTTGAGGATCCCAGAACACGAGGATTTGATTAAAAGCCGCTGAGTTCACTAAAGCAAATCAGAGAAGCAAATTGGAAACACATCTCCTATTCCTGCCCCGCCTTATGTTCCTAGTGGAAAATGAACCCTGGGAAAGCAAAAGCATCACGTGCATCTCCTGACCTTGGAGCCAGACACCCCAGAGTCAGCATGGTCTACCTGGGACGTCTCCCAGCCCATGAGGACCCCAGCCGTGGCTTTGCTGCAACCTGCCTGGAGGGGAGAAAGGACAGGGGGCCCTGCCTGTGAGATAGATTTCCTGCCTGGCGGGCAGGACTGGAGACTGTCTCAGTGCCCAGGCCGCCTGACACTGCCAGAGTCCGCCTGATTTATGTAACGAGGTCTGGGTGTGACCGACAGCGGCCTCGTGTGTGTGAGTCACACATGCAGCAACTTCTGGCTGCAGTGCACCCCTGAAACCTAGCAAAGCCCCAAACCACCCTCCTCCACTTCCTCTGTGACACTCCACCCCCTCCCCCAATTCCTGCCACCACCCAGGGCCGTCAGGAGCATCTCAAAGCTGAAGGAGCCTCCTCTGCAACCTGGCCCCCTGCTGCAGGGTGAACAGAGCTGCCACCTGCCTGGTTTATGCAACCGCATTTCAGAGAGGAGGCGCTGGGAGGGGAGAGAGAACACCGAGGCACCTTTGGTTATTTAGGGAAATAGGGAGGGGCCGGGTGCACAGACTGGAGGAGATTGTAAAGTGGCTGCCTAGCGGATGCCTGGAGTTGCTGGGTTGGGCTGAGATACAACACAGTGAAAGATATTGGGCAACAGTGAACAGGGACTGGAGTCTAAATTCTCAGGGTGCGTCCATAGCCGAGATGCTGAACTCTGGGGTCCTAGACAGGTGTCTCGACTGGAACTGCTGACAGCCTTGGAGGGGAAATATCTCACAGATCCGAGAGGCTGATGTGGCTCCTGTCCTGCAGCCCAGTCTCAGCACCTTGGGCAATGATGACCAAGACAGCTGGAGGAGGCCGGGTGCAGTGGCTCATGCCCGTAATCCCAGCACCTTGGAAGGCCGAGGCAGGCAGATCACTTGGGGTCAAGAGTTCAAGACCAGCCTGGCCAACATGGTGAAACCCCGTCTCTACTAAAAATACAAAAGTTTGCTGGGTGTGATGTCGCATGCAGTTGTAATGCCAGCTACTCAGGGGACTGAGGCAAGAGAATTGTTTGAACCCGGGAGGTGGAGGTTGCAGTGGGCTGAGATTGCGCCATTGCACTCCAGCCTGGGTAACAAGAGCG